GTGACTTCCTCTAGGGCATTGACAAGTGCCGGGTGGTCGGGATGGTCATCGGGCGTGGAGTCGAGCAGTTCGGCCAACAGAAGGGGATATTTCAGAATTCTTTGCACTGGCTTCACCAGGAGAGAATCCAAGTCCCACGCCGTCGTTAGGTCTGAAGCCCAGTCTCGGCACTCTTTGAGCCAGATAGCAACCTTAGGGTTGCGCTGCAGTGTCTGGAGCTTCTTATTAGCAGCATCATGATTTTTCAAATAATCCGCATAGACCTTCTCCATGTAGCTCATTTGATTCATGAAGGCTTGACCAATGTATGTCATCTTATCTTTGTCCAGGTCGGATATGCCCGCCGTGCTCGAATTCTCGGAATCCGTCTTAGAAGCGTGATGGCGGGCACTACGCTTGCTACTCCAGCGTTGGGACTTGGGCATCACGTAAACGCTCTTAGCTGCCTCCTTCAGTGCATCTTGGAACGCCATCGAGAATTGCACGACCTGGTCGGAATTCGCAAATAGAATCTTAACGTCCTCCGAGGAAAGATCTAAACAAGAACTCGAGGTTCCTTTGTAGATATCGTCGACGACCTTCATGTCTCGTCCGAAAGTGTACTCTGTATCGACAAGTTCCTTGATCACATGCCGGCGCTTTTTAAGACGACGTTGCTCTGGAGATGGAGATTGTGCTTTTAAACGGGATGGCTCTGATGTTGAAGGGACCAGCGAAGTGGAAGACGAGTCGAATGTTTGGGGAGACGGTATAGGGTCCAGCCTGCGAAGAGAGGAATCCTCGCTACTACCGGTGCTCTGAACAGGATCCAATGGCGCAAAGATGCCAGATATGATAGTACTTAGGCGTTGCTCTGTGACATTGACATTTGAAGGCGGTTGCATTCGCTGTTGCGGGGTGACATTCAAGGTCGGTATGTCTTCTTCTGGTGGCTCAGGGAGCGACGGCAACTGCTTTTCGTGGGAGTCAAGCTCCTGAGGCTGGTGCACCTTGATAGCCAGACCTAATCCTTCATCGGCTTCTTCTGAACAGAAAGATTGATGATTCGGGGTAACCAGCCGGGGGGTTGTAGCACTATCATGTACAGGACCTGTGTCGCTGTTTTGTGCCTGCAAAGCAGACTCATCCTCAGCGGCAGCCACCTGCATCCAGTCCATGATCGAAGGGGAGGCATGCTCCCAGTCGTCACGCAAAACTAGACTTGCTGTATGTCCCGGCCGTTCCGAAGGAGGAGGATCCCGTATACGAGATACAACGACCGGGTCATCATTTAGACTGTCGGATCCCTGATCTGCCTTCTTGTCCGAATATGTCTGTGATGGTTCCGGAGAGGCGCGGATTGCTGGCAACGGAAGCCCATGACTCCTGCCATTTGCCAGCTCCTGCAGATAGAGTTGTCCAACCCTCTTCGAATCCCAGCCACCGAGTCTTGCTAAGTTGGAAGCGTTAGAGAATGCAAAGCCATTCGGGTGAGACATCGCTTCTTGTCTCCCATCATTCGCGCTTCCCTTCTTTGGAGATGCGGAGCGCAGTATTTGATGGTCGGTTGTCGACGGGGTGCTAGAAGATGCAGAGCAGGACTGGGTCGCGACCTCACTGTCCTCAGTGCACTGTTGTAGCTGGGAGAAGTCATCTCCACTGTTGTCGCATTGCTCGTCGACGGAGTGCTGATTGCGAAGGGATGAAGACCAAGAACTCATGCTCCAACGATTAGATGTCTCGCCGTTCATCGGACCATGTCGCATGTAAATATCGCATGACTCCGGGTTATCGCTGCTGTCTGCTTGATCATCGAAAGCGAAAGCATTTCTTAACCTAGTAGGCAAGGCATCCCTCTCATCGTTCTCGGAGAAGCTACACTCCTGCTCATCGCATGACGAGCTGCTTGGACTGGACTCGCGAATATTCATGATCTGACTCAACAGAGTCCTGTGAGAAGTATGTAGGTCTTGTCGTGACAGCTCAACTTGGGGCTCGGTATCGAAAGCAGTCACATGGGTCTCGTTAGACTCCGAGGTAACATCAGACGCGGGGGGGGCGTGAGACTTGGGCTCATATGTCAAGTCCCTTTCTATTATCGCTGCATGTCCCAGAGTTGGGGAATCCATGGTCATTAGGTGTGCATCAGAAGCGCCGTTTACATTCTCCAGTGTAGTAGGGATGTCAGTGTCGACATGGAGCTCCGGAAGTGGCCGAGAGTCCTTCGTTTCGGGTACCTGGTCTACCTCCTCAGTCGGGGCTTCTGGTGCCTCCTCAATGACGGTCGCGCTATCCTCGGCGTGGGGAGAAGGCTGTACTTCACTCTCCGTGGGTTGCGGTGGTTCAGGGGTGGATGCGCGAGCGAATTCGAGCTTATCTTCCTGGGCATTTGCTTGACGTCTGAGTTCAGCAGCTTTCTCCTCTTTTCGCTCATTCTCCTCGACGGTACGGTTGAAAGCCTGTTGTATCTTCTGTCGCCTAGTCGCGAAGTCGACATGGCCGAGCTCCGGCAATCTTCGTTCGCGCGCCCTGGAGTTCCTGTATTCCCGGTCGCGGTTGATCTGCCTCTGGAAGTTCGATACCGTTTCAACTACTTTCGAACGAGACGATTGAGTATGTGCTATAGGCTGGCGTGGTCGGGAGCTGCGTAGAGGGGGTGACTTTTTCGGGGGAGGAGCGGCAATGTAGGCTTCTAATAGCGCATTTCTTTCAGGAAGCTGCTGGCGCGACCGACCATGAGCCATTTCCCGCTTTGCGCGTGGTGATGCAGCATAACCTGGTAGTTGATCATTTTTCGGCATATCACGCGGGGATTTGGGCGAGGGTTTGGGAAGGCGGCTGGTGCCTTTTGGTGGCAGATGGACTTGAACGGCAGTACGGTTTCCGGAATGAGTGCCGGCTCTTGAAGGGGGAGGAGACTCGTCTGAAACGGAAGGCGAGTTCAAGCGGTGGGATGAAATCGGAATGCGTGATTTTGGGGTATGCGGGCTGTTGTCTGGGCATGCTTGGGAATTGGCCTGCAAGGGGGCCGGGACCGCCATGTGGGAGTTGGGAGGGTTCGCTCCCACCTCGACCGACCAATTTCCAGGAATATCACTCTTCGTCCTCCGGTGAGTGTTTGTATTTGACCCTGTACTGACGGACTCCAAAAATGGTGTGCGTCCTAGGTACCACGCAGTGGGTGTCAGCGGCGTCACACCAGCCGACGGATCGAAAGGGTCTAGGAAAGCTGGATTCGGGCTAGGAATGATCCCGTCAGAACCTCGACGCCGTATCGTCGACGAAGTTCCATATCCAGGAATCTGCGGACTCGTGTCAATTCGAAGCGGTTCGCCAAGGGTAGGTCGTCGAGGGATCGCGTCTGGTGAAGCGAAGTTACTCGAATGATTGTCATCAATGCTAGCCGTCCTGAGTGAAGCTGCAAGAAGGTCTGACGAAGACTCTGTGTCGAATACACTCCTAGGTTGCCAGTGGCCAGACTGTGGCCTCGACGAAAGGTTGGGTGTTTCGCGCTGGCGAGGGAGGGCTCTAGATTGCGAAGAATACTGGGTAGGACTGGTCGGGCTGGCAGCTCTCGAGGTTACCCGCGACCGGACTGAGGATGTGGAAGGAACAGGAAGGACCTGGTCGACGTTGTTGTTGAATTTGTTGATAAGATCTTTAAAGGATGTCTGCCCCGATCTCGCCGCCGAGGCCCGCACCGATGATCCCCAGGCAGGTTCGTGCCCAACGCCTTTATATGATGAATCGGAAGCGGAACGATACTGGCCCAGACTAGTATTCGTGGATTCGAGCAAGTGTATCGGTACTGAAGAGACCCGTTGGAAAGGTTTCGGGGAGTGGTTATCTGCGGCTGCGTCGCTGCCCACTTCCACCATGGGATGACCGCCGCTCAGGTCGAGATCTTGCTCGTCGTTTGCGGCCACGATGGGCAGGTGTGGGCGATAATAGTCGTCTGGATCAGGTGAAGACCGATCGTAACTGTTGGGATGATCTGCCGTGGGTATGCTGGTAGGTGTAGGGAAAAGTTGCAGGTTTGTGAGACCCGGCTGAGTGGGATACGCTTTACCGGACAGAGGAACAGGAGTGGAGGACAGGGCGGCTAGATGGTCTTCGCGAGAGCCATTCGACAGGGCGTCATAGAAATAGTCGGTGGTGCTTTGGGAGGATAGGCGCTGGAACTGACGGGGACTGCCGTCAAAGAGGCCAGAAACGTGCTCGACATCACCCTCGGACATCTTGCATTCTTCAGGCAGAGAATCAGCGGGATGCTCCTTTGTGTATTTCTCGAAGAAATCATAATGATGGGGAATTGGAAAAAGAATGAAAAGGGAAAGGAAGTACCCAGCAGATTGGTTGGCTGTGATTGCTCCAGTTCAAGGGTGCTAATCTTGCGATGCGTTGTTCACAGCTGGTAGGTCACAGATGCTATTGCAGGTTAACCGGCCAGAACTACAAGGCACAATCGTCACCGGGTAGTACCACCCGAGCACGGCGTCATATTTGAGATCAAATGTGATCACCAAGCCAGCGGTGGGGGACGATCCTCGACCCGTCTGCTAAGGACCGGAGGAATTGTCCCACTATTGACCAACCCCTCCAAATGGAAAAGAGGCGAAGGAAACCGAAGCCCGATGGTTGATTATCGGGACAAGTTCCAAGGGAGTGTATGGTGTGAACAAGGTAGTAGGGTGGGAAGGTAAATTCCGTTGGGAAGGACAACGACTAAAGGAACAATGACACAGCACAGGCGGAACGAAAGAAAAGGGAACCCTGATGACAGGCCCAAGTAAGACGGGCGGGACGAATGTTTGCACGGCGTCTAACAGGGGAGTGAGGAGGAGGAGGAGGAGTAGGAGGGGGAAAAGCGAAAAGGTCCGTTACAAGCGGGTCGGAGGAGGGGTTTGCTGAGGTCAAAGTGACAGGGTAAGACTGCAGTAATAATAATATAATAATAATAATAAGACGAGGGAAAAAGAAGGAAGAAAGAAAGAAAGAAAGAAAGAGTAGGGAAAAGAACGGGGATGACGAACAGGTAGGGTCAAGAGCAACATGATACTCATCAAATAGAAATCATGGGCGACGAGCCCAGAATCGGCCTGATGGTCCTGTCGATTGAGAAGGGCTGCAGGTGGGCCAACAACCAGCAGCCCTGTTTGAAAGCGTCCGTGTTTCTACTTATTTTTATTTTTATTTGGTTTTTCCGTTTTTATTTTTTATTTTTATCTTTTTATTTCTTAATTGTTTTATTTTTTTTTTTGATCTAGTTTTAGCAGGCTAAGTTACTTACGATGGCCCTCCTACTAAGAATTACTCCATACTAAATTGGGTATTAATTAGTAGCTGCGACAGTTTTGGGTGTGGGTGCGGAGAAGGTGGATTAGGGGCCGGCGAACAAATTAATTAATTGGAGGAGGCAGAGGAGGGGGGGAAAGAGGAACAAGAGAGAGAGGAGGGAACAATCGGAAAGCTGGAGCCAACCCAAGGATGCATCCTACGGTTAACTATGGATGTGCAATAAAGCGATGATTCTTCAAGACGACATAAATAAGTAATAAAACCAACCCAAGCTAGCCGAGAAAAATCTCAAGACGGATGAATCGTACACAAGACATCGAATAAGGAAAGGTAAAAGAGGGTCTCAATGTCTAATGCCCATTCAGTCTCATTCCCCCTCCCCCCTCCCACTCAGGCCCGAAAAAATGGGCCTGTACATCCGAAAGGTTCTGGCTTCGCGGGAAAGCTCCATCAAAGGAAAGATTCGCTGTGTACGGTATTGTCAATACCTGAAACTCCTGGCCACTTACTAAGTACTACGACCTATTCGCTACGGAGAACGGACACTAGCCGGCGGTCTAGTCCAGGTCTTAGATCTTTGAGAGACGGCTTAATGTGCTTAGATGACGAAGCAGACTAGAGTTGATAGATAGCCGACTAGTAAACTCATCATTCGCTTGAATAGTTCGAGAAAAGCCGGTATTTGATCCATCTTGTGGCCACATCCTGGCCTTCCCTGTATGTAAATTGTAAACAGAGATAACAGCCCCAGGGGGGAGGGAATCAGACTGGCAAATTTTGAAGATCTATCTACTATCTAGATCACCATTTACTGCCGATCCCACCGATTAGTGGCCGGCTTTCCCGCAGTCTGCATTTAGTGAGGCAGAAGGAAGGGCTATATGGTGAAGGGAAAGACCTATCCGCTGCGAGGCATGCTAGCGCCTTATCAGTCTTCGGATCAGGAGACGTTCTAGAGAAGAAAATTTCTTCTAGATCGTTTAACACAAGGGAAGAAAAGGGAAATGCAAAGGGCACAGAGTTTGATTACATGATCCGGCCGGTTCATTCCCTGGGTTGTGTACCATGGGACTCGGTCTCATGCGCCAGTCTTTGTTTGATTACTCTTCTCAAGCCCGTGGTCGTCCAATCTTCTCAGGGAAGAAAGATATTAGTTGAGGGATTTCTCCTTCGTCGAAATTCCCCTTGTTCGTTTTACAAATGGCAATGTCTACGTTGGGTCCTGTTCTTCTGGCAAATGTATAGGATCATTGATAATCATGTTCTCTTTCTGATATGCTTGTGCTCAATGCTTAACCCATCATCCTTGTACCTCACGTATTGGGTGCGTACTGCATACAACTTACATACACAATACAGTAATATATTGTCTGATGCTTCTAAACCAGCCGATGAAGTTCCACTGTCTTATTGCTCGAGTCAGTTACTGCATGGAAGAGTACTTTTCTTTCCATGAAGACGTGACAGATAATAGCATACAATCTACGATGTTGAATCAGAAAATACCTACTATTGCTACTATCAATTTGTCCATCCCTGAAAGGTAGGCGGCAGCTTTGCGTATAGGAGATGTGACTCCTCTCATGGGATGATTGGAGGAAGTGGATATCCCCCGTGATCATCCGTCTTCTCCCTCCAGGATAGAAAGTGCACTCCGTCTCTGCCTTTCCCATCCGTTTGACAGTGGCACCGTGGGAGCAAGGGAGGAGGAAAGGGGTCATATCTGCCATGTCGGTGAGTCGGAATAACTACATCGAGCCAGTCCCAACGACACGAGCATGCCTTTATAGGTGTATTCGAGTGGGACATAATACATAAAAGTGCCTATTGTGACACCTGAACGAGCCATACTATTGGTCTGCTGTAGGTCTAGTAGATTAAGTACTACTACCTGCGGAAAGTCCTCATGAGGTAGAAAGGATGTGTGCCGCGCCTTATCAGCCTATCCAGAACCAGCCGACCTGCTGCCAATGTGTCTTTATCATACACGAAGTGTGAATTTTGTTCCACACACCAACCAACTGCACAACCCATGTAGATTCGTTGGTTTGCATAATCATTGACAAGTCTGCCTTATTTTTTCCAGTGCCGTAAGTACGGCTGACAGTGACTTGGATTTTTCCGATTGTCCTTCAGTCTTCACAGATGAATCACTACTGGTTAAATTGATCCGAACCAGCAGATTATGCCTGCGGGACGCATAGTAGTCGACTCTATTGCTTCTGCTCTGGTATGTAGCATGCATCTGTCAATATCCCGTTCGCATGTCACCGCCTGCAATAATAATCATGACGTACCTGCTTCGCTCCACTAGGCCCGGTCTTGGGTGGTCGTGGAAGAGTCTAATTTAGTTTAGAGTGCTCCGTGGATGGATATACTTTGTACTCATACGTGACACTAGTACGGAGCATCGTGTTGCAATCTGAATGGACGAGTAACCTCGACTGCTTTCAACAAGGCCCGTCCTTTTTACCGGCACTGCTAAGATACCATCGCCGCCACGGACTAACAAAGGACGTCCTTTTAGATAGGACAGGTGCCCTTACCACCACACCGCTTATTTTACAGCCGTGGGCAATTGGGCGTCCTTGCAGTTAGGATGAAAAGTACCACGGACTGATTTGCATGATATAATTATACGGGGCAATCGGCAGTTTCATGCAGCGACATTCTACATTCTGTTCGTCTACGGAGTACTCTTTTCTCGATACTTCGCCCCTTCCTCCGGGGGAGGCGTTTGCAAAACCAGGGCTTCGGGACTTGGATCAGGTACCAACAGACAGAGACAGGAGACGGAACTGTCTGTCAACATGCTTTGCATGCCTACCAGGGGCTGTGGTTTTCAGCCAGCCTGTAGCAGAAAAGAAAACTGAACCCCCCAGACTCCGCAAGGCGAGAGAGGCTGACGCGGTGGGGACGCAATCAATTGCGATTGATTGACCACCGTCGGGAATGCTGGTTCTTGGTACTACTACTTGCTAGAGCCTAGCGGCGACCTTTCTAGACCGCCGTCGTTCCAAGGATCTGGCTCAGCTTCCCCCATCCTTGTCCGTGCGAGCACCGTGGCTACGATAGTTGGACACAACCTCATTATGATTTCTATTCTTATCCGGCGGTGGCTTCAGGAACAAGGGATCGACGGGAATTCAGTCTGATTGGATAGATTTTCTTTCCTTTTCCAACCCAGTCTCGTCCGCAATCCGGATCCGAGTTCCAGCATTAGCGAACAATGTCGTTTTCACTTTCGGTTTGAAAATGAAGGCATGGTGAGTGGAGAGAGAAAGGAAGAAAAAGAGAAAGGAAAGAAAAAAGAAGAAAAAAATGAGTGGGGCACACGGATCCGAATCTACTCAAGTGGTCCTCTCTTGTGTAAGTGTATCTCCCTCTCAGACTCATCAGTCTTACGCCTTCACCCTTGCTAGTAGATACATCTTCCCGGTCGCAATAATGCAATGGTAATGAGTTAATCCAATTTCAACCACTGACGGAGGAGCTGGTCACCCGACGGCCCGCCGGATGTCGCCTTCTTGCATCCGCCATCCCTTTGACAGACACGCCAGGCTCTGTTCTGCCGCCTGCAATGTAGTCTTTTAAGGTTTACACATCCTACGGCTGAAGTGTGAAGAGCTCCTTAGCTCGCTTAACTCGTGATGTGTCGGTTTTTTCATTGAGGTCATGAAAAGGAAAAATCTTTCCGTGCACCAACCAGTTAAACTATGAACCGCCGAGCAGGAGTTGGCAAAGATCGGCGGTCGCTTACAGATCTTCCCTTCGAGAAGCGAGCATTACTGATCCGATGCCGCCAATGACCAGTGGGATTGTGGTAGCCTATATGGAGCAAGGGATCCTTTTATAATCCGCTTCTATTGACGGTTTTCTGTCAGAACGTGTGACCCGCGCTCCCAAGAATTTATTCTTGAGGGTTGCCTGTAGATAGCCGCCTTACCCTGACGATCTACGTTCCCAGAACTCTTTTCAGGAGGAGCTTCGCTCTGAAAGTTTGAGTGAACAATAGTCCAACGAAGCCGATAGTTTCGAATAGTTCGACGACGCAGGCAAGAAGCTAAATAGAGTTCGACTTCAAACAGAAGCAGTGGTTCTGTTGCCTTACCAGGCTTCCCATTAAGGAACGTCTCCTATCGAGCTACCGCTTGGAAGGTTCGATTATTGACCGTTGTTCTCGGGATATGCGCTGGCGAGTGGAGAATTGTTTCACTCCCAAACATGGCGCCCCATGTTCTTCGATCGCTTGCGGGTTTCGACTCGGCTTCTCTGGGTCATCTCTAAGGGGTTGGTTTTCGTTCATGCTGGCGCATGATCCTGAGTAAAGAAGCAGTGGCTCTAGGTTCCTGGGCCCTAGCAAACGGACATGGCAGAATGAGCAATCAGCAAAGTAGGGGTATCCGTAGCAAATTCGGTATTGGTTGACTGGTTGCAGAAGGTCGGTAAGGACGGCTGCTCCCGTGATCCCCGGCTGTCGCGTTGCCGGAGCGCGTCTCAGCGCGCTTCCCTTTTGGGGCATATCACAACACCTGGCCGCCATACCAAATGTAATGATCAGACCACCCATCCATGTGAGGCAGACAGTCGCTTGCATTAAGCGAACTGGTCCGGATTGATTCAAGTGCTTTCCTAATGGGAAAGAAGAGGAAGAGACCCATTAAGGGTGACCGTGCGCTGGACAGGTTGTCGCAGCCATGCACCTCTCCAGCATCCACTTGTTTCAAGGGACAGCGCAGCCTGGCTCGTGATGATGCTGCAGGGCACACTCATCCAGTCATTTCACTATACTATTCTCAGGTTTTAACGCTGAGACAGTACCTTCTACGCCAAATACCCCTATCCTCCAAATCCCGCCGTCGGAGAATTGTGTCAATACGTCATGAGCAGGCTCCTGTCGAGACCAATGACGATGGTGGTTCAGGACAACTTGCTAGTTTTCTTGATACGACGCTGATAGGCATATTGGCCGACTCGCATCCGACATGCAACGAGAAGCGCCGGCAAGAGCTAGCTGCATTTACGCAGTCGCAGTCCAGATCTGAACAAACCAGCACGGACACTGGACCAGCATGTGCTCAGGCAGAGGTACAATCCACTTTTCTGGATTGGCTCGATAGGTACTGACGGTACATCATAGCTTGTAGATTTCGTCATATCCTCTCTGTTCAGTCGTGACAAATTCTCCCGTCAAAGGCCCCTTCATCTATTGACCCGGGGCTTCAGACGTGAGAGCGTGCATCCTGCTCATAGGAAGCGAACGATCTCATGCAGTATTTCAGGCCTCGAGGTGCAGTTCCCTAATGACAGTGTTCAGCAACTGAAGCGGGCGCCATGGACAGAAGTGCTTGGCTTGTTGGGAGACAACGGGGAAGAGATCATGCTAAAACTTCTCCTGGATTGTGGAATATTCGTGGCCGTTGATCAGCAAAGAGGAATTTATTTCCAATTAAGTGGTAAGCCAGCTCCATAGGGAGTACAGTACACTACTAAGATGGCAATTTAGGACTCCCTCTATCAACACTTGAACCTGTAAACAAGGTGCCTCAAAGCCATTTGGCTCCAAAAAATGCACTTTCCTCTGTGACAAGCAACCCTGTACCAGCGTCTGATCGCAAGGAGACGAAAATGAATACAAGCACATCTGACTGCAAGCCGACCACACAGAAGCCAGCTCCTGTTGTCTTCCATCGCCGACGTATTCTGTATGCTTCTCCAGTGCTTGATTCGAAAGGAAAGATACAATTTGGGATGAAGAGTCGTGAGTCAGCCAAAATCAATAGTTTGGCCCCTTGGCTAACATTGCAGATGTTCTGAAACGTTTCCCTTCTTCCACATCGCTCGCGCACACTACTCATGTGTTGAAATACATATTTCCTAAACAGTTTGGCTTGCACAATGTCTTCTCGAGCGTGTCAAATGGGCAAGACATATTCAAAGATTATGCTTATCGCGAAGATGAGATTGCAAAATTAGAGAAGGTAAAGCGAGCCCATTCACACCCAGAAAGCGTGATCCCCAGACGACTTCAAGGCAAGGCTGTAGAGTTGGTCCAGCAGTTGCAGAACCGGAATAAGCACTGTTCCTATGTGCATTTGCTCAATTATTATTGTCCTTCAGAGGTATGCTCGCAGAATTACTGATAAAATTGTAGGGTGATGCTAATAATGTAGCGTATTGGACCGTGGAAACTCGGCCCTGAGCCGTTCGATGATCACAAACTGTCAGCATCAGAGTCTTTGATCACTCAACCACGACTTTCCTGCCAGCAGGCATCTTCTTCAATTCCGGATGGTAGTCCCTCGGTAGATCCAAATATCAGCGACATGCCAAAAATACAAGCACCGAAGATCAGCTTGACCGACTACGCGACGCCTGCCTCATCTGTCTCCGCCTTCTGCAGAGCTGTCTTGAAGAACCTGATTCCCCCTCAATTCTACGGAACTGGTCAGAACAGAATTCTGCATCAAGATAAGATCTTGAAGCATGTCGATCAATTCGTGCAAATGCGGCGTTTCGAAAACCTGAGTCTTCAGGATGTATGCCAGGGGATCAAGGTTCATTGACAATCACAACCACATTGTTGTCTTCCAATACTAACTGCGTATCTTCAGGTCACTTGTTTACCTTGGCTTGAGCCTCCTTCCAATACAAGACAAGCATTCAATCCCTTACCACACAAGCTGTCGAGGTCCGACTTCGAGAAGCGAACGGAGCTACTTCATGAGTTTGTGTACTACCTGTTCGACTCAATCCTAATACCACTCATCCGTGCCAACTTCTATGTCACCGAGTCTCAGTCTGGTCGAAACCGTTTGTTCTATTTCCGGCACGACGTTTGGTATCAGCTGACTGAAAGACCGATACTTGAGCTCAAGGCTGGCGTTTTCGAAGAGTTGGAGCCAGCCACAGCCCAGCGTGTGGTAGAGAAGAGACTAGAGAAGAGCGGTATGGGATATGGCTCCTTACGACTCTTACCTAAATCAACAGGCATTCGCCCTCTCTTAAATCTCAAGCGAAAACCGGTACTAGCGGGCCACGCAAAATCCGGTAAATTCTGGAGTGTCAATTCGGTTGTTGCCCCGATTCATAGCATGCTCCAGTACGAGAAGACACGAGCGCCGTCCAAACTAGGCTCATGTGTGCAGTCAGTTGGGGAGATTTATTCCCAATTGAAGAAGTTCAAAAGACACCTACAGAATCAGGGCTCAGTGCCTCCATTGTACTTTGTCAAACTCGATATCCAGTCTTGCTTTGATACAATCCCTCAGCAAAGCCTGGTCCATCTTATTGAAAGGTTGATCACTGAAGCCGCCTACCATTATACTAAGCACGTCGAAATGACGCCGTCTGATGAGTTCAACATCCTGTGGCCATCGCACGAACGACCAAGCAAGGCTAGGCGGCGATTTGTCGGTAGAGCAGCCCCTGCTGCAAGGCCACAGCACCTGGCAGAGGCGGTGACCAACGGCGAGACCAGCCAGAGGCGAAACACCGTCTTTGTCGACACGCTCATGCAGAGAGAATTCAATGCGGAAGATTTACTCGACCTCCTCGATGACCACGTGCGAAACAATCTAATTAAGTTCGGGCGGAATTACTTTCGGCAATGCAATGGCATTCCCCAGGGCTCAGTGTTATCGAGCATGCTGTGTAACCTATTCTATGCAGACATGGAGCAGCAAGTACTGGGATTCCTGCAGTCCGACAATGCTTTACTGGTTCGCTTAGTTGACGACTTCCTACTCGTCACCACCGAGTCCTCACTGGCTATGCGTTTTCTCCAGGTGATGATCCCCGGGCAGCCTGCCTATGGCGTCTCAGTCAATCCAGCCAAAAGCCTGGTCAACTTCGCCGCCGCTGTGGAGGGGATTCAGGTCCCACGTCTCGTGGATACTCGGCTCTTCCCTTACTGTGGATGTCTGATCGATACCCGTTCTTTAGAGATCTACAAGGATCATGAGCGCATTCTGGAAGGGGGGCAATCCGTCGCCACTAGTCTGTCGAACTCGCTCACGGTCGAACTGACGCGAGTACCGGGCCGGACTCTTCACCGCAAACTGCTGGGGTCCTTCAAGCTGCTCATGCATCCGATGTACTTGGATCGGCAACACAACACGATTGGGGTGATCCTGTCGAACCTGTATGCAAACTTCGTCATATCGGGAATGAAGATGTACCGATACTTGAAGTCATCCGGGCAGATGCACCCAGCCCCCGTGGTGATTCGAATCATTCGAGACATGATACACCTAGCCACGCGCATGGTCCAAGCCCGACGTGAGGCGAACGGACCAGCCGCAGCTGGTCGCGGGGTGCATCATTGCGAGGTTGAATACCTGGCTGCCGCGGCCTTCCGGTTCGTGCTGGGACGCAAGCAAGCCCGATACGCGCGGGTGTTGGGCTGGCTGGATGTCATTCTCCGAGAGAGCCAGCCCAATTCCCAGACCCAGGCCTGGCAGCTGGGGCAGGTGGTGCAAACCGGCAATGCGACATATGGCGGCTGGAAGTTCTAGAGAGGAGAGACTAGAGACAGCAGATGACCGAGAGTGGGAGGCTAGACCCCCTTGCTGAATGTAGACAGGCTGGGAAAGAAGATGCCGATGAGCAAGAGTCCAGACTAGCATAGAGTCTACCTGCAGAGTGCAAGCACAGCAACAACAAGAACCGGGAGCGGGTGATGTAATCTGGATGCGGTGGCCTTGGAAGGATGAGAACGGGCATGACGACAGGATTACTCTGTACTACGTATCGAACTGGAAACAGCACACACAAACACTCCCCGATGCGGGTGGCGTCCGATCTCAAAGCCCACTCAGTTCGGAGTGGAACGGAGGGGGGAAAGTGCACAGAAAAGCCTGATGCAGGATTTGTAGCCAATGAATCTTACGGTATAGGGTGCAAAGGGCAGGACAGTTCCTGAGATTCGATCAAGAAAGCTGGTTCCGAACGATTTAGTGTCGTGGGGTGGAGGCAGAGACCGAGGAAGTTTTTCTGGCTGCGATCGGGCACTTACCGCGACCGTAAGGAAGTAAGTAACTAAGTATGGACGGTGTACCCAGTACGGAGTAGTTTAGGTACCCTCACTAACTACTACGCCCTAATCAGTTAGCACCCATTTCATCTAATGAGCAGCTAGTATTGCTTGTGACTAAGGGAGAACTCCAGTCCGGAGACCCGCGGCTCGTCGGCCGGGCAAAAAAACAAAGACGGGCAGGGCAGCACACATAGCACGGATCTGGTGGCCATGGACAACGGAGAATTGGATCAGGGGGTGAGAGATCTAAAGGGAGGATCCTGAAGGGAGAGGAGGAAGAGAACCTTGGAAAAGGGGGAGGCAAAATAGTTGGGCGGGTGTGGTTGCCCATCAACGGTAAATTGTCAACAAAAAGGAATGAAGTTCCATACAAGTCTTTCCAAGTTCATGAGGATTTATCCAGGGTATAGACTAGCTACTAGTATCTAGTGACTGTGTGCAGCTCTCAGTTCTCTCCGTCTCTCTTCTTGTTTTTTTTTTTTTTTTTTTTTTTTTTTTTTCCTCCTGGGCAATTAATAACCGGGTGGAAACCCAGTTAGTATCAGCCTTCATTTCGGCTGTGGCGGTGCGGGTAATGCTTTAGTAAACTTGCAAACCAACACTATACCACTCCGAGGTGACTTACCCACGACTACTTCGACTAATTGGATTGAACTGGACTAACGGGACTAACTGGAACCGTTTCCTGGTGAGAAGAATATCCACCCTCATTTCACGGTCATTATCGTCCCTCCATTAATCCGTGCGCTGTTCGAGGCAGACATCCTTCTGGAAGAGACAGCCAATGATCGCCAGTCCATCGCCATCTAGTGCCTCCAGTGGGATTGGCCAGGCCTTGTCCAGAACTGCCGTCTGGTTGCTCGTTTGCAGCCAGCTTCTCTCTCTCTCTCTCTGCTGGTCTGATTGCATCCATCCTTTGTACCAACTACTACTAGTACGTAGTATTACTGTATCCCCATCCTAATCTTATCCCCATCTCCATCCCATCCCATCCCATCCCATCCCATCCCCCTTCTCCTCCTCCTCCTCCTCCTCCTCCTCTTCTTCTTCCTTCTCTTCTGTTTTCATTCATCCTCCTCCACCTTCTTTTTCCCCATTCATTCCACCTCCCAAAATATCACTCGCTCTTCTTTTCTCTCTCATCCTCATACTACTTTCGTTTCCTTTTCTTTTTTCTTAATATCTCCCTACATTCCAGTCTTTCGCTTTAGTCTAGTCTAGTCTATCGTTTCCCAACCCATCTCCTCCTCCGCGCTGCTTGTCTCATCTGCCTCTTGTCTCGGTTTTTGTCGGGGATCGTTTCATCTCTCTCCGTCCCCTTCCCCCTTCGGCTCCGGCCCCCAAATGCACTGCTCGCTGCACGATTAACTCCTGAATCCCTTGAGTGCATAGTAAGAGGAGGACAAGAATAATACGAAACAAATTGGAAAAGAAAAACAGCCTCGCCCCCGACCATCTTCTGATCCGCCACTTGTTCTGCCGCTTCCATTGCATGCAGCATCTTGCTTGGGGTTCTTCCGTCACACACCTATTGATTAATACCATCCGGAGATCATCCCACCTCTTCACCCTCGTCTTTCGTTCGATAACGGCTTATTTTCTTTGTCTTTAATTCGCGACCCCATCGGACGTGTTTACATCGTCTTCCTTCTCGTCCTGGTATACGCAGCTGCTAGAGGTTCATCCCCTGAGGTTCTTCCCTTGCTCTGATCTGGGAAGAGTCTCGACTCTGCAGCTTTCCCGCCGAAATGACAACCGTTTGTACGACCACCCCGAATTCCCCTCCTGACCTCTCCGGGTCCAAGTCCTCCAAGTCTTCCTCCTTTCGTTCCTCCTCGCAACACTCCGGCCCCGAAGCCATCTTCACTGATATCTCCAATTTCGAAGAAGTGGACCTCCAGGATGATGTGCATGTCTCCTACACCAAGGGTGCAACCCCGTACGTCCAAAATGCTGGAATCTCACGAGCTTCAGCGGCCATCATGCAGAAATCGGCGGTTGCGACAACACGCGATCTGACCGCCACGAAAACAAAGACACCCTACCCTACCGCAAAGCAGGTCAATGGCACCTTGGCTCAGCCGGGCCGTGGTCCTAAGCACCGCCCCGGCAATCAGCGGGATCCAGCCTCCACCAAGCAATCCGCCCTCCAAGTCACGAAGCCTCATCGTTCGCGTTCCTCCTCCCCACTGCGATCGACATCGAGCTTGAGCTCGTCGCCGTCTACACACAGCCTGTCCCTGACCCCCGTCAATACCCACACCCTCAACCGGAAACCCTCGTGGCAGCGACCGCGCAAAACCGTGCAGGATTTGGAGGATGAATACCATGACTCTGATGAAGAATTACCCGAGGATGCGAGTCTGTGGAATGTTCCCATCTCCCCGCGGCCGGTGCAGGATCGAGCGCCGTCCCGGGCCTCCAGCCCCAACGGTCGCAGTCCAGGTCCTCGACCCCTACCGCTGTCGCATTCGGTTTCTGATGTCACTGTGCCCCGGTCGCCTTCCGGTTCGCGATCTCCCACGACCCGCAACAATCGTTCCAGCTCTGCAGGGCCTGAGCGCGGCCAGATCTCGCCCCGCAACCCGCGAGCATACTCGTACAACAACATGATGTCGGATTTGTCGGAAGAAGCCAAGATCATTACGGAAGCTTTGGAGTTCCACGCCGATGAGCGCCAGCGCCAGCGGGGAGAGCGCCTGCAAAGCGGGCTGTCCTCTCTCCGCTCGAGCGAGGAGTCCAAGCGTGGGTCCAAGAGCACCATTGAGCTGCCCCCGTTGCAGAAATCCAACATCATGATTGATCCGTTACCTCCCAGCAAGGAGAAGGAGAAGGTTCTGACGCGGACGCGGCCCAGCTGGCTGCCTCCGAAGGACCAGAAGGAGGAGAAGCGGCATTTGAAGGAATACAAGCGGATGATGGCGCAGGCCAAGGAAGCAGGTATGTGACTTGTCTCGTTGGGCATCTTCGACGACTGACCATTCTAGATAAACGCCGTGCAGCGAAGGCTGCTTCCGCGAAATGCGAAAAAGACAACACTCGCGAGACTCTGCAGCAGATCTGGGACGAGTACGTCGACCCGAATTGGGATAATGTCATTAATGAAACCCGCACGCGGGAGTTATGGTGGCGCGGAGTGCCGCCTCGGATCCGGGGCTCGACCTGGCAGCGTGCCATCGGCAATGAGCTGGCTCTCTCCGAGGAAACATACAAAAAGGCCTTGCAGCGCGCCAAGGACGTGCGGGCGCGGCCCGAGGGCGATTCTGGGGAGACCAACAAGCGCATGAGGGATTGGTTCGAGGCGATTGACGCTGATGCGTCCAAGGCGTTCCCTGATCTGAACTTGTTTCAAGTCGGCGGTCCGCTGCGCGAGACGTTGATCGATGTGTTGCAGGCGTACTCTATGTATCGCAGCGACGTGGGCTATGTCAGTGGCTTGCATGTGAGTTCTCTTTCATGCCATCCATGATTCATCACTAACGATTCTAGACCATCGCTGCCCTCCTTGTCCTGCAATTCCCATCGCCATCTTCGGCGTTCCTGGCCATGGCCAACGCGCTCAACCGGCCGCTCCCTGTTGCTTTTCTTACATTGGACCGCGGGGCGATCGGTCGTACATATTCACTGGCGTCTGCGACGCTGAAATACAAATTCCCGCGTTTGATGACGCATCTGCACGAGACGCTCCGACTCAGCGACGAAGAGATCTGGGAGCCGATGTTCCGGTCGCTGCTGACGAACGGGCTGGACTTGGAGCGTCTCAGCCGGGTCTGGGACTGCTGGGTGTTTGAAGGAGACCGGATCATGATCCGGGCGGCCGTTGCGATCCTCGGATGCTTGCAGCCCCAGCTGTTTGGGTACACCAAGCCGGACGACCAGAGTCGCAAGGCGGTGCAGGACATACTCAGCTGGGGACCGCGACAGGGGGGGACTCGGACGCAGGAGCGACACAGTGCCCCGGCCGCGACAGGGTTCGGAGGGGGGCAGCTGGCGTCTGGCATGGGCGACTACTGGATGTTGGGCTCGGCGGGTGACGAGGACGGATTTATGCATGAAGTGCGCGAGGCAGGCAAGGTGCGGTGATGCTGCTGCTGCTGCTGCTGCTGCTGCTGCTGTCTCGCAGTCACTATTTAGATAATTATCTTCTTTTTCTTCGATGAACATATTACTATGGCAGGGTAAGTCGCTGGTCGGTGATTTGATGGACTGGATGGTGTATGATATTGCAGTTTGATAGACACAGCTATTATACAGCTCAGCTTACCTAGAATGATGCATGCATGCAGATAGTAGACAAAGTAACTACAGTACTAGTTCTGGTTCAATTCAATTTCGTCCCGCGGTTCAACCAGCCCCATATTTGGTCTGGATTGTCATGCGCGGGGTAGTAGGTAGTCTAGCTGTGGTAGAGAAATCTAAAGAATGGGATTGGCGATGGAAATCCCTCATCTACATCGGTTGGGACTGGCGGTGACGGTAGGATGCTTGTGACCCTTGCTTGATGCTGTGCAGGTGGCAGGAGCAGGTACAGTTAGTTTCTGTCTGATAACTTAGCTATCTGTATGTTGTACGACATACATGGTGGTAGTAGTAGTTGTAGTAGTCTGGCAGTCTACGTAAGTGGTGATGAGATGTCATTATACCCTATCTACTCTCTTACGCAGTAAGAAAGATACAACTGTAGTTTACAGCCATGAAGTAAGTGGTTGATGGTGTGAAGTGAGTAAGGTGAGTGAGTGATCCTTCGCGCGGCGAGGGATTAAGTTGGACGTGCTGGGACCACACATACACATTTACGTTTACTAACTACTAGCTACTTTAGTTAAGGGTTGTCTGTCAGGAGGTAGAACCAGAACCACTGCTCTCCGCACTCTCTGACTGATCGACAATTGCCGCATACTTTGTAGGTAGTACTGGTAGTAGGAGAGGTATATACATGATGGTCCCCTGTTACTACTTCACTTCTAGTTTACCCTACTCTATACTAAGCAGGGAGAGAAAATGCCATCAACAATAGCAATCGCCAGAAACTACCTGTGTTTCAAACTCCCTTTCTCGGAGTACTCGTTCTCGTTTCCTTCGGTTCCTTTTTCATGGCATGCACAGACACATACACATACACATACCACTGCTATTCTCTCAGAAGCAGACACAGATTCAACCACCATATCAGAAGAGAGCCCTCTCCTCCCTCACCATCATCACCACCAACAACAAAATACACCTCAATCCCTCAAAGAAAAATACGGCACCTGCACCACCATCCTCCACTACGGCACATCCAGCTCCGTTCGTCTTTACACCAACACCAACACCACCACCAACAAGAAAAAGACATCCAAAAAACTGCACGTCCTCAAAACCCTCCGCCCAACCCCCTCTGCCACAAAACAAACCCTAAAATCCACCCTCGAGTCCCTCCTCTCGTCCACCCTCTACCATCCACATCTCCTGCACACAATTGATATCATCCCCAACTCTCGTGGAGAAACGTGTCTGGTAAGTGAGTACTGCGAACTAGGTGATTTGGGGACGTATATCTCCTCTTCTTCTTCCCATGGGGATAGTGTTATGGGTGTTAGAGAAGCAGATAAGATTCTATATCAGATAATGAGCGCAGTGGGGTTCTTGCATGAGATGGGGGTCGTGCATGGGTGTGTTTGCGTGGAGAATGTTTTTCTCTCCCACTCTTACTATTCTGATGGGGTATGTGTCAAGTTGGGGGATTTGGGGGATGCGAGGGTGTTGGATTCTCAACTCTCTCATGACCATGTTGGGGTGAAAGATGGTGATGGTGGTGATGGGTACTACGCTGCATGGAAAGAGGATGTATATCCCCTTGTTAGGGGATTATCGATGGGGATAGGGAAGTTTGAGAAGTTGGAGGGAAGATGTGATAGGAGGAAGAGGGTTAATCCTTATGCTGCGCCGGAGGTACTTCATCCTTCTTCTTCTCACTCTTCGGCTTACTCTTCGGCTTACTCTTCGGCTTACTCTTCGGCCTATCGTCGACGTGGGTATGAAACTTCCAGTGGGATAGTAGGGGATGCCCGGGCTGTGGATATCTGGGCAGTCGGGATCATATACCTTGTCCTGAGACTGGGGAGGGTTCTCTGGCGGAGTGCGAGTGAGGAGGAGGATGGACGGTATGCGGAGTATCTTGCTGGGAGGAAGAGGAGGGAGGGGTATGGGGTTATTGAGGGGTTGGGAGGGGTGAGATTATCCTTTCTTCATCATTTTCTTGTTGATGTCTGGGTATATGGCTAATGTGTGAGACAGGCACAATGCAGAAACGTGGTATACGCGATGCTAAACCCCGATGCCAATCGACGGATCAAAGCATCTGAAGTGATGAGATCGGAGTGGATGTATAACCTTGATGTACATCAATAACATACTTTCATCATATTCACATTCACACATAATAATACACTAAACCGTCCCAGCAGCCAACACATACCCCCCATCCACGACGACCGTCTGCCCATTCAAATACTGATTCGTACTAACAAACAGCACCGCACTAGCCATATCCTCATCCTTCCCCGGTCTCGCCGCCGGCACCTTACCCTCATACTTCTCCTTCGCCAACTGACTCTTCTGCATCTCATCACTCTCGCCCGCCGTCATCTCACTCGGAAACACCCCCGGCGCAATATTATTAACCCTAATCCTCAACCCACTATCGGCCACCTCATGCGCCAACATCTTGGTCAAATGAATCGCCGCCGCCTTACTAGCATTATACGCGAAATGATGCTGCGACACCTTCACAATCCCCGAGATACTGGTAATATTCACCACAGTACTACTCCACCCCTTCTCCCTCTCGGACCCCTTCTGCAACAACGGCAAGAAAGCCGTCGTGGTGAAATACAACTGCATGACATTCGTCCGGTAGGTATCTTCCCACTCGCTCATTGGGGTCGCATCATCGAACAGCGATTGCTTCAGTTCCGTGGCGTCGCTGGGTTCCGTGTTATCCGTGCTGCTGCTGATTCCGGCGTTGTTGATCAGGATGGAGAGGTGGGATTCGCGCGATTCTATCTCCTTCACTAGTTTGCTGATGGATTCTTTGGAGGTGATGTCTGACACGATTGGGATGATCTCCCCGCTTATGTTCTTGTTGTAGAGGCTCGCTACCCGGTCGAGTTTCTCTTGTGTTCGGCCCGTGATGTACACTTTTGCCCCGTTGGTCGCCAGTGCTTGGGTGGCCATTAGACCGATGCCGGAGCCGCCGCCGGTGATTAGGGCCACTGTTGCTCTTATTAGCTTGCTGTTGTGGTAGAGATGGAGGTGGGGTATGTGGGGATACCTTTGCCCTTCACGCCGAAGAGATTCTCCAGCTTGAAGTTCTCGTTGCTCGCAGAGGCCATTTTGTGGAGGTTGGATTGGGGTCTGCTGGTTGTGTTTGAGAAGTGGTGTTTCTGTGTGGAATGTAGTGGTGTAGAGTTGAGGTAGATGCCCGTGTTATAAATGGCTGGTCGGATAGTATTACTAGTGTGGATTGCGTGGGTAGGACGTAGTAGAGCAGCACGAAGGAATTGACGTTGTAACATGATGAAGTGGTGTCTAGTCTAGGGTTGAATCCGGTTTATATGTGCCACTTTGCATGGAGATAGGGATAGTGATGGTGGTGATGATGCTGGTGGAGATCATCAGTATGACGTGAGTTGAGTATGAAGTAATGGTGGTCCAGCCATGGTTGCAGCCGCAGTGGTCATAATGAGTTAACAGGTAACAGTTAGCACCATTCCGAGAATGCATTGGCTTTAAATTACACTTAAAGTGGTTACTGTAATTTATACTAATCAATAATGCTAAGTACGTGGTAGGGCTACAACTTCGCTCTAATTCCCTCCTCCGCCGGTACCACCTCCACCATCATCTTGCCCGTATTCACTCCATTATACAAATCCACCAGACTCTTCGGTGCCGACTCCAACCCCCCCTTGACAATATGCTCCTTGCGCTTGATCTTGCCCTGCGTCAACCACTTGACCAGATCCTGCAACGCATCCGGGTACTGCTTGGCGTAGTCGAACACGATGTAGCCCTGCATTTTGACTCGTTGCGACTGTCACCGTTAGCACTCCCAAGCAAATAGCAGGAAATCTGGGAAGGGATGGTATACTTACAATAACCTGCATAATATTGGCCGGCCCCTTCGGCTTCGCCACATTATACTGGCTAATCGCACCACAAATAACGAACCTAGCAAACTGCGCCGCCCGGCCCAAACACGCATCCAGAATCTCCCCACCCACATTATCAAAGTAAACATCAATATACTCCGGCGTAGCCTCCTTGAGCTGCTTCTTCCAATCCTCATCCTTGTAATTAATCGCCACATCAAACCCCAACTCCCTCACCAAAAACTCACACTTATCCTTACTCCCCGCAATCCCAACCACCCTCTTCGCTCCTTGAATCTTCGCAATCTGGCCAGCAACCATGCCCGTCGCACCAGCCGCCCCAGACACAACCACCGTATCGCCAGCCTTCGGCTTACCCACATCCATCATCCCGAAATACGCCGTCAGACCCGTCATCCCCAGCACGGACATCGCATCCGTGGGCTTGCACCCCTCCGGCACGGAGATCTTCTGCGCCTCTTTGGCGCCTAGAACAGCATACTCCTGCCATCCCGAGTAGGCAATCACCCAGTCGCCGACTTGGTATTGGGATGTCAGACTGCTACCGACGGAGAGCACCTGCGCGATGCTTTGGCCGCGCATGATGCTGCCGATTTTCACGGGCGCAATGTACGACCGTTTGGCTGTGAGCCATTGGCGCATGGCGGGCTCGAGGGCGAGGTAGTGGATGCGGACGAGGACTTTGTCATCCGGGACATTGTTCCTGTCGTTGGTGATGGTGGTGGTCTTCAGGTTGAAGGTGCCGCTTGTTACGGATGGGTCGATGGCGGCTGTGGGGGCCTTGACGTAGATGAGTTGGCGGTTTGTGAGGGTCATTTTGATGCCTGATTCAATGAATAGTAATTAACTGTATAGTGAATGGAAATAGTAGAATGGTTAAGTGAAGGGGATCCGGCTGAAAGTCCATCTTTTTGCCGTTGACCCTGAGCCCGTCCTGAACCTCGGCTCGTTCGCTTCCACACTAGGCCTTCGCTCTGTTTGTAGTAACTCCTCCGTGTGTCCCCGCGGCTGAGCTTCTCTCCTTGATGGGCTTCGGCTCGGAGTTATTGTGTTGGCTTTTTGATTAATCGGGTTGCCTACAATTTGTGATATTTTTTTTGTAGGGTATGGTTTTAGGGATTTCACAGTTAGTCTTTGGTTTCTGCATCTGCTGCATGTTTTTATGTCATGACATCATTGTTGTGTTCTGCAGGCTTATCGATAAGATATCACGTGATAGTATATTGGGATGTGTTGAAGTTGAATAGAATCATCAGCATCAATTAAACCCATTTGTGGCATTCACTGGGACTGGTCTGAGCCATTTAGATTCACTGCAAAATGCACGTCCATGGCAGTGATGCCGTGTCTGAACCATGGTATGTCCTGCCTGACGTCACCCGCTGATCGATGATGTCGAAGGCTTCAACCCTCTCCCTCGCCTCCTTATATAAGATGAAGACAGACAGTGGGGAATGAATACTACCTAACATCATCATCATCATCATCAACAACATATAACAAATCAAACCTACTAATTGAAATATCACCATGAGCAGTACTCAGCCTCCCTACTATTCTTCCACCTTCGGTGAACCCAACCAGAACCCCAGCGCAACTACTGCAACTGGGACTCAAGTTGGCAGCGGCATCACCAGCACCGGTCAAGCAAATACCGGCCCTGCGCGCACCACTGCCGGACCGCATCAATCTGATCTCGCCAACAAGGCCGACCCCCGCGTCGATAGCGATCTGAACAACCGCGCTCAGTACGCCCCTGGCGCGACAACCACCGGCAACGTACATCCCCAGGCGACCCAGAACGTATCGAACCCTCAAAGCTCCACCGCGGGTCCTCACAAGTCCTCCCTGCTCAATAAGCTCGACCCCCGCGTCAACAGCAAGACGGGCGAGATGTCTTCCAAGTCGACGAACGCAACCGGCTCTGGAGCCATGCGTGAACCTACCGACACCACCGGCGGAGCCGCTTACCAGCAACCGAACCAAGCGGCTACCGCTGCCGGAGGCGCTGCCTCAAGCGCAGCTGGCTACAACACGGCCCCGGTCTCGGGATCGCAAACCACCAGCGGAGTGGGATATCAACCGACGCAATCATCCGGGAGCACATATGGCACCCAATCCAAGTCGGCTGCTGCCGGGGAATCTGTTGGCGGCGGTGTGAAGTCCGCTGCTGCAGGAATCCATGTAAGTCCCGACCATCAGTCGAGTCTAGCCAGGCACTCATCCGTAGTGGCCGCGGGCTATCCGACACTAATGAGCGGCTGATGCTAACCTGAAACACAGGGAGCGGGGGAGTCATTGCGAGGCGGGCTCACAGCTGCGGTCGACAAGGCCTTTGGGCACGAAGAAGGGGCCGCCAAAAACTCGGCCATTGCTCAAGAAGGGGAGCGAGAGATTCAATCGGGAAATTTTAGCAGAACCCAGCGGTGATTTGGAACACCATGGTCTTTTGGCAATGGGATGAACCCCGCCTTTTTTGTTAATGAGATACGAATACGCCATATGCTAGTGCTTTTTTTAGTGTAAATTATGAATATGATGTGTACCATGACGCGGAGTTTCCTTTGTTGCGCAAAGGTCGGTTGGACCTAAAGATGGCTCTAAATTAGCACGTAGCAACCCGGGTTGGATGAGTGGACGGATGCCAGTTAGCGTCGGGATAGCCACATTCCGGCGTGCTGGCATGCGGAGGCTGGGAGGATACTTAGTTGTGCTAATCTTTATTGTGGTTGAGATTCAAGCGAGGGACAGGTGGTAGGCCAATGATGGAGAGAGTAAACAACACAGTCCAGACTACTTTCTGACTGTACTTAGTCGACAGTGATAAGTAGTAAATGAACAATTGTCTGTTGTGGTGTGGCAATAAACCCGCTGACTGTCAGCTGATTGGCGCCTGAGGTGCTCCATCTGGATCTTCTTCTTGATTTTCCCCTCAAATCATCTTCTCTCTCATTTGTTCTGTGCTTCGGCTGCCCGCCAACCGAACCAAGCTACTTACTATGACGATATGCAGCTACTTTTACTCGGTTCGGTGATGTGATGCGATGGTTATGCTATTGCCTGGGGCATGATCTCATTGCAATATTATCGCCAATGGTCTGATTGTGTGCAGTATCTACATGCGAGAATGCCATCTACGGAACTCGAGAATGAACCC